ACACACACACACACACGCGCGCGCGCGCGCGCGCACACACACACACAGGAATTCCAGGGTCCCGAGTCTCACCCACGACGCTGCCGCCACCGCCCAGGCTTCGGAGCCGCGACGCTGCGGGCGCCCGGATGCCTAGGGAGGCCATGGCCGCAGCACTGAGCTCTGAGCAAAGGACAGGAGCGCAGCTCTGCCTGCCAGTGCAGCTCTGCCTGCTGGCCCAGCTCCACCCAGAGGGACCCGGGCAGCGCGGCCCAGCGGAGCCAGATGAGACGCAGACTCAGCAGCCCTGGAAGGCCGCGGCCCCACTGCCGCCTCCGCTTCCAGCAGCCGCCTCCCCACACCCGGAACGCCCGGCTGCACGCACCATTTCCAGTCACCGGGTGTCCTGCTGTCCTCCGGTGGCTCTTGCAGTAAGTGGATGGAACACGGACACTGGGGAAACAACCTGCGGGTCTCTCTCCACAGAAGACACAAACGCTTAAAATGGCTGGACGGGAAGTGGCATCCCCCGCTTCTGTGCCCGCCCTCTTCTAACATTTGAAAATCTCATTGGACAGTTTATGCAGCTAAGCAACTTTTCTTATTGGCCAATGGGTCACGTGCACTCGTCCTAATGCTTAAATGACAGAAAAAACATCCTCTGGAGTGTACTGTGGCGCCAAATCTCTAATCCGAACACAAGCCTAGTTTTACTTGGGGTCTAATCTGGCCGTGAGACTCTCAAATTATTCTGGAGTTTCGTGTGAAATGAATACTCTATATTTCACATGGAGTTAAAAATAGGTAGAAGTCTGTTCTTTAACAAGGCAAAGATGTCAGCTAAATTCTATTTTATTTTGCACGCGTGAGAAACGGAATTGAAAAGAATGTCTGATGTGAATTATGCCTATTTGGCTGAGCTTCTAAACTTCTCTCTCATTTTGCGATCGATGGTTGTCTTCAAGGTCCCTGCGACTGGGAATTTACCCATTCTGTTTACTTTTTTGGAAAGTCTCTCTTGAATCCAACCCACCACTCTTGGCCATAGTCATTTCCAGAACAAACATTTTGGGAATGGAGGGACACAGAACCATTCTTAAGATTCGAAGCATTCCAAAAATTTTTCAGGAAGTGCAAGTTTGCGCGGGTCCCAGTGGAGCTCCGGGACACTGAAAACATAAACTTGAGATACTCCATAGATGACTTCCAGAGCAGACATTCCTGCTATCAGGAGGACCAGCCTGACTGGGGAGGTAGAACTAAGTTCGCAGAGAACTGGTAGAAATTAGAAAGGAAGCCTTGAAGAGAGAAGATTAGAATTGAAAGTCTGCTCTGGCTGCTGAAAGCGTTATAAGAGGCCAGGGAAAAAGTAATGAGCAGATAAGAGATTCCTGCACTGAGTCAGGTGAAGCAGGTGCAAGCTTGGAGCAATGTCAGCGAACTGGGAGACAGACATATTTTAAGTGATCTTTTAGAAAGACAGGAGCGAAAATAGGAAAGCTGAAAGACTGGAGGCTGCAGCCAGCAAGCTGACTAGATGGCATCTGTAGATTTTAAGAATTTTTTTTTAAAAAAATATGTTTGTGTGTCTGTGTGCGTGTCACATGTGTGCAAGTGCTCATGGAGGCCAGAAGAGGGCACTGCATCCACGGAGCTGGAGTTACAAACAATTGTAAGCTGCTGAACAGGGGTCCTGGCACAGAATTTGGGTACTTTACAAAAACAATATGCACTCTAAACCACGGAGTCAGCTCTCCAGCCGCCAACTCTTCAGACTCCCATCCAGCGCTGTCTCCTTCACTTTTATAAAAACTGTATTTATTATTTACTGACAAATTAGCAGGCCAGCTGTGTCCATCTCTGTCTTTTCTTTTTACCTCTTTTCCCTATCCTTTCCTTATTTTTTTCCCTTTCAGAGACTTTCCCAAGGAACACAGCCTGGCCTGGTTTTCAGGGTTCCCAATGTCAGCCTCCTAATGGCTGAGACTACTTTAGGTTATCTGGTTGCAATTCTGTACTTTTAAACAAACTTACCTGATCTCCACTTTCATGTTCCTACCGCCCCCTTGCATTTATGTTTTCTTTGTCTACTGTTTGTCATCAACACGAGTTTACTCATCATCTTTTTTCTTTTCCTTTCTACTCATACCTAATGTAACTGATACACTTGTGCAAAAAGGAGTCATAATATTCCTCCATTTTCTAAAATGCTTGGTATTTGAGTGATGGAATTTGTGGTTTTAAATGTATTTCTATAGTGGGCCTACTCATGGATAATGATTATTTCTACAGACACCATTTCCTTTTTAACCTGCTGGCCCCAAGATTTTGGAGCAGAATTAACCAAAATTTCAACCCTATGACAACCTGAAAATTGTAATCAGTTCCATTTGAAAAAAGCAATATGATTTAAAAACAACAACAACAAATAGTCAGTGATTTAACCCAAAATAAAGAAGCATTACTGAAAAACTAAATAAACATTAAAATCAAGAAAACACAATTCAATCAAAAATTACTAATCTCATAGTAGTGGCCTCTAATTCAAGTGAATTAAATGAAATCTTAGACAAATCCAAATAGTAAGGACACACACACACACACGCACACACACACACACACATACACACATACACACACACACAAAGAGGCCACAGATGTTTTATTTACAAATTCCAGCAGAACATAAACAAAAGTTAAGGACATTAACAGATAAAGAGTAAATCCTGTGGCCTTTGGGGCTGACAACTTATAAAGAGGTTCTTCATTACTGGCATGGTGGTTTTCATTCAACAATTCCTTTGGCCTGAAGGAATATCTGTGTGTGCCCCACAACACTGGACTCCTAAGAATTTCACAGAGGTAGAAGGCCCTTGAATTTTGGTTGAATTTTTTTCCCATCCTCTGATGTGCATATGTGTTACCAGTAAGTCCAAAATGGTTGCTATCTCCTGCTCATTTGGCCCAGGGCTGAAGATTTAATATTCCCTTGAGGTAAAACTATAAAGGTATACTTGGGCTCTGTGTCTGTTTGAGAGAAGATTCTCTTCCAGGGAATACACAGGAACCTTTGGAGTGTTTATATGCGTCACTAAGTTCATCTCTATCCTTTTTCAATTTATCCAGAGGTGCTGACACCAATCGACCAGCATCATCATTTTCCTTATTTTTCCCAAAACTGCCAAAAGTTTCATATACAGAATCAACAAACCTATTGCCGCCCACAACTGGTGAATAGGGATAATCAAATGCATTTACTTCCTTGGGTTTGTAAAATAGTTCACTAGAGGAGTTTTAGTCCTCTCTAAGCTCCCAGCAAAGGCTTCACTAATTGGAAGGCTTCAGTAACTGTGGGTGTTGGCAAATTGAAAAGCCTCTTTCAGATACTTAACAGATTCATCCTTATATTTTCAGTGCTCTAGAACTACTCCTGGAACCAAAATCTGTATTAGTCTAGACTCTAGAAATATATAGAATGGAGCCGTATTAGAATGACTTAAAGACTGCAATCCACCCATGGCTGGCTGTGAACAGAAAGTCCAAGGATCTAGTAGTTGTTCAGTCTACACGGCTGAATGACTCAGCTAATCTTCAGCGTATAATGGAATCCTGAGAAGTCAGGCTCTAATGCCAGTGAAGGAATGGATGTGCTGGCAAGGTGAGAGCAAGCAGGCAGAGAGCAGAAGCCTCCTTCTCCTCTGTCCTTATGTAAACTTCCAGGAGAAGGTATGGCCCGGATTAGAGGTGGGTTTTCCCAGCTCAAAAGAAATCTGGATTCAAGGCTTGTCTTTCTGGGTTAGAAGTGAAGCCTTCCACTTCAAATTAAGCAAACCCCCTCACAAAGGTGTCCTCCATTTTTGGGTTTTAGTCAATTCCAGGTGTAGTCATGTTGACAACCAAGAATAGCCATCACAGGTGGTATTCGTTGGCCAAGATAGGACTGTTTTCATATGAGAACTAACAAAGAGGTTGATACAGTCCGGTCTGGGGCTGAAGCCCCTGGCGTGACATATTATGAAGTAGGAAGTATATGAATCATTTGAACAAACTGTTCCTAAAATATGAAACCAAGCAAAAGAGGGGGGTTGAGGGAAGGGCAAAACAGACAAAGGAGACTATCCTGGTCACTCGAAATCAAACATGGGAAGACTTGTGTTGAGATGGAGATCCTAGGGGGAGATATTAGTAATAAGGAAAATGGGTGCTTATTCACTTCTGAGAATATTTAAAGCCTGAGCAGTAATTCACAGAAGGCTGAATGGCTACAAACAGGTCAGGGTTTTGTTTTGCTTGTTTTGGTTTTAACAAAGCTATCCTGAGAATGGGCAATTGTCTTTCCAGTATATTGTAAATTTATCCCCTGCAAGAAAAATGCACAATAGGAGAGTTTATGCATCCAGTTTGTGTTGCATTCAGTAACTATGGTCATGGAAAGAGAAGGGACACATTACTGATCAGGGGCCAGTTCAAACCAGATAACTAGCTCTAGCAGGAGACTGGAAGGCTGGCATGTGGCCCTGTGCCCCTTATGAATGTTTATTTAGTAGGAAAGATGAGGGAATGAGTGACTTAAGACAGGGAAGAGCTTTATTTGGGAAAAGCCTACAAACGGGCTATAAAAATCCAAGCTTTTCTATCTGCCAGCCCTGCCGTGGTTATAGGGCAGAAAGGAAAGTGGGGGAAGGACATTCAAAGGGTCCATTTCAGCCCTGCAATTGCCTTCTGTAAGAGGAAGGCAGTGAGCAGTCAAACAATGTTAGGTGATGGATTTATCCCTGGTTAGCCAATATCTGGAATAAAGGCTCCATAACCCTGGAGCAGGAACAGCAATAATCTAGAAAAAAATGAATTGCTTCAAGTACTGGAAATCAGACTACTGTCGTTGCAGAAATTGTTCCAGTTCAACCAAAATTGAGGTTGTTTACAAAATGGCATGGCCCTGTCTAACATCTTGGACCCATTCTTTGCCAACAAACACAAGCTGGCACCTAAAGATGAATAAGGTCCATGGCCCAAGGGAGCCGATTGTGGTTTAGAGAGTGGTGGATTAGGAACTGTCTCCTTCCATGTGGCTCTACTAACATTGCTCCTTGTTCTTAAGTTTTTATTTTTAATTATGTGTATGCATCTGTGTGTCTCTGTGCATACGTACATTCTTGGTTAGCATGAAGCCGTACATGAAGGAAAACAATCAGATGTCTGTATCCCCACCTCCGGCATTACACTCCAATCAGTGAACATCACAGGAGAAGGAGCAGAAGGAATAGAAAAGCATAGCTGGGTGTAGTGGTTCGTGCCTTTAATCTCAGCACTTGGAAAGCAGAGGTAGGCAGATCTCTGTGAATTCAAGGTCAGCCTGGCCTACAGACTGAGTAGGACAGCCAGATCTACATAGTGAGAGCCTGTCTCAAAAAGCAAGCAAGCAAACAAACAAGTGCAGTTATTCCCTGCAAGTTGAAACATTTCTCCTGAGGCAGGGAAAGATTCATGTGAATCATTTTCATGACACAAGGCCCAGGAAAGTCAGAGAATTACAGAGTTCACAAGAAGTGATTGTTAGGGAAAGGAGATTCTGGCACTGAGAAACTTGTAAGTTGTGTAGGAAGCAGAAGAGACAGAAGCGCATTCAGAAACACACACATACACCCCATATATACAAATACATGGCCTTACATACACACACTTAATTATTTTGTTCATAAAAAGAATAAAAGCACACACAAAATGGTCAGATCCAGGCACATGAAAGCAGTGCACAAATTCCAATATTGTCAAAAAGTCATTTTTAATTAACCACAATTGCTTGAAAAAAGGCATTTATGAATATTGGCATGTTACGATTAAATGTCAGTTCAACAATGAATCTAACACAATTCACAATGCAAACAGAAACATGTACCAGATTTGATGCAAGAAGAAATCACCCATTAAACCCAGTTTGCTGCTTTAAGAAACCTTACAGAATCATTTCACGATAGTTTACTTTCTTTCTATAGCTGTTTTGTTTTGTTTTCTTCAAATGTGCTGCTTACTGTTCTCCATTCCATGAGTATAAACTGTCATCCTATCTCACATACTTGGCTTACGCTTGTTTTGTAAAACAAAATTTAGAAATAAGAGTCCAGAATGAATTACCAGACTGGAGAGATGGTTCAGTTTTTAAGAGGACTCTCTGTATTTACAAAGAGCTGTGTTCAGATCCCAGCATCTACAAGACTGCTCACAACCATCTGTAACTCCAGGCACTCTTTAGGGTGGGGCAGACACTGCACACATGTAACACACATTCACACATGCAGGCAAAACACTTATACATTGGAATAAATGAGTCCAAAAAGAATTTTTAAAGAAAATTCCATATTTAAGGTTACTCTAGGGTAGGTTCTTTCATATCTGTGAAACTAACTGTGCTAATGAGAGGCTTTTCAATACTGCCTAACACACAGAGGGTTTCTCTCCGCTATGACTTTATTTTTTATTGTGTGTGTGGGTAATTTGCCTGCATGTATGTCTGTGTGCCATGTACATGAAGGCCCCCTGAAGTCAGAAAAAGGCACTGGGTCTCTTGGAACTGGAGTTGGGACAGTTGTGGCCTTTCATGTGGGTGCTGGGAATCAAACCTGGGTCCTCTATAAGAACAGTCAGTGCTCTTAATCACAGAGGAATCTCTCCAGCCCCCTCTAGTTGATTTCTTATATATATTTGGAGGAAGCAGAGAAGTGGAGACTTTCTACATTGCAAAAATGCACCAGGTTTCTCTGTGATCTAATCATTGCTATGTCTTTTCCATGATTTGGGACTACAAAAAGTTTAAACATCACTTACACTCATACAGGCTTTCACGAGTGTGAGTTCATTTATGTAATTGAAGAAAACTTTTAATATAAAAACCATTCCTCCTCCTCCTCCTCCTACTCCTCCCCCCTCCCCTTCCTTCTCCTCCCCCTCCTCCTCCCCCGCCTCACTCATCATCATCACTATCACGATCACCATCATCATTACCATCACTTTGGCTCTTTTTGAGACACGGTTTCTCTGTTTTGAGACAGGACAGCCTCAGCTGTCCTAAAAACTCTCTCTGTAGACCAGGCTGGCCTTGAACTCACAGGGATTCACCTGCCTCTGCCTCCCAAGTACTGGGACTAAAGGCATGTACCACCAATGCCTGGCTTCCATATTGTTTTTCAAAAGGTTCCCCTCCACTGTGGCTATTTCATGTTATTCTTTTGGTTTTTTAAATCAATCCTATAGAGGCTATCACACATTGGTTGCAAAAAAGTCCCCCCTTTCTCCAGTGAGTTTATGTGAAAGCACCGCAGCCATTTAAAGGCTGTAAACACTGCTTACAAACCTATGGATTTATGCCACTGAGAATGGCTTTCTCACACGCATCCATTTCCCATGCTGCTTACACGCATCCGATTTCTATTCAGTGCTGAGTTCTCTCGTGCTTTGTAAGGTGACTAAGAGACCGAAAGCCTTTCTCGCATTTCTTACATTCATGGGGTTTCTCTCCGCTGTGTATCAGTGCATGGTACTGAAGAGAACTTAAATGAGTGAATGTTTTGTCACATTGCTTACACATGCAGGGTTTCTCTCCAGTGTGAATCATTTTGTGTTTCCACAAAGCACTCTGAGAACTCACAACTTTCTCACACTGTGAACACACATACAGGTTATTGCCACTGTGGAGCTTCTCATGACTCCGAAAGGTGGTAGAGCAGAGAAACCCCTTCCCACATTGTTTGCACATGTAGGGCTTGACGCCACTGTGGACTATTTCATGTCGTCTTAACTGAGTCAAAGACATGAAGGCTTTTGCACACTGCTTGCACACATAGGGCTTCTCACCAGTGTGAATTCTCTCATGTATTTGTAGGGAACCGAGATGAGTGAAGGCTTTCCCACACTGCTTACAGACAAAGGGATTCACACCGCTGTGAACTACTTTATGCTTTTGGAATTGAGTCCAAAGCATGAATGCGCTTCCGCACTCCTTAGATGTGTAAGGTTTTTCCCCAGTGTGAGTTCGTTCATGAACTTGCAGGTAAGTAGAGGTAATGAAGCCTTTCCCACACTGTTTACACACATAGGGTTTCTCTCCAGTGTGGAGTCTTGTGTGTCTTTGAAGAGAAGCAGATCGAGAAAAAGCTTTTCCACACTGATTACATGCATGGGGCTTCTCACCAGTGTGAATTATTTTATGCCTTAAAAGAGAATTCAAACGAGTAAAGGTTTTCCTGCACAGTTTACACTAATGGGGACTCGAGCCCGTGTGAATTCTTTCGTGTCTTAGAAGAGAACTGGAATGGGCAATCGTTTTCCCACACTGCTTACATGCATAGGGCTTCTCACCAGTGTGAATCCTTTCATGGACTTGGAGGGCACTCGGGAAAGAGAAGGCTTTCCCACACTGTTTACATTTAAAGCATTTCTTTGTATGGTAATGTTGTTCGTGCCTCTTCAAGGACTGGAGAGAAGCAGAAGCTTTCCCACACTGCTTGCATTTGTGCTGTTTTTCTTCAGCAGGAGTCCTTTCATGATTCTGACCAAGTCTGAAGTCTTCATCGGGGTGCTTAGTTTTATTAGATTCCTCTGCAGGCTCAGCACTTTGCTGCTTCAGCAGAGACCAGGGAGAGCTGGAGGCATCCTCAGATTCCTCATTGTTGTACACGTCCTTTCCCTGTTCCTGAACTTCCTTTGACTTCTGTCCTGGCCTAGGTTTCAGTCGCACATTTAGAGCTAAGTGACCAATGAGTACATTGACAAACCCATTTCTTTTACAAATATGTACTCCTGGGTAAAATTTATGGTTCACAGTGCCCTCCAAAGAGAGTTTGAAGATCTCTGCACACTCATGACCCTCTTGACAGTCATGGAGTTTCTCAACCACTTGACATCTGTAAGAAATAAAAATCATCTTTTGATTATTAATGATTTACTAGTAAAAATATTGGTTCTATGCATTCTGAGGATTTTGAACATATTTTGATTGCATGCTATACACCATGATTTGAGGACAGCTTTAATGAAAGCAAGTGGTACAATGGTATAAAAAAACACAACGAAGGGCTGGAGAGATGGCTCAGCAGTTAAGAGCACTGATTGCTCTGTCAAAGGTCCTGAGTTCAATTCCCAGCAACCACATGGTGGCTCACAACTATCTGTAGTAGGATCCGATGCACTCTTCTAGTGTGTGTCTGAAGACAGCTGCAATGTACTCATATAAATAAAAAATAAATCTTTAAAAACAAAACAAAACACAATGACAAGTTGTGTTGTATTGTTTCCATGTTTGGTAAACATTGAATTTATGTCACATTTAAAGTACTAATATTGCCGGGCGGTGGTGGCGCACGCCTTTAATCCCAGCACCTGGGAGGCAGAGACAGGCAGATTTCTGAGTTCGAGGCCAACCTGGTCTACAGAGTGAGTTCCAGGGCAGCCAGGGTTACACAGAGAAACCCTGTCTTGAAAAACAAAAAACAAAAAAAGTACTAATATTGTGCACAATTTGATACACAATACTGATGACAAAAATCATGTTGCATTTTGAACTACTTGAATGTTGGTGTGGTTTGAATAAAAATGGCCCCTATAAACTCATAGGGAGTGGCAATATTGGAGGTGTGGCCTTGTTGGAGGAAGTCTGTCACTGGGTAGACTTTGAGGTTTCAGAAGGTCAAGCCAGGCTCAGCATCACTTTCTCTTCCTTCTGCCTGGAGATCCAGACGTAGAACTCTCAGCTACCTCTCCAGCACCACATCTGCTTGCATGCCACCATGCTTCCCGCCATGATACTAACAAACTAAATCTCTGAACCTGTAAGCCAGCTCCAATGAAATGTTTTCCTATATAAGAGTTGCTGTGGTCATGGTGTCTCTTCACAGTAATAGAAACCCTATCTAAGACAAATATCTATATTGAGGTATCTGAGATGTTCTCACTGATGACGTGAAACATATTGGCAATTTTGGAGGCAATCTCCTGAGATCAACTCAGATTGAAGCTTGATATATTCTTTTATCTTTTATTTCTTGGTAAAATATCCTATGACATCATAAACCTTGAGGAGCCTGGATTACCTTAGTTTTCTCCCAGAATTTTGGTATTCATTTTCAATCTTTTGGTGTTTCCTTATGTTTCCTAAAATACAGATTAAGATTAATCTTTATCAATCATGATATTACACTGAAAACATTAGTAGAGTCCAACTAAATTCATGTGGTAATCCCACCTCACACATTTACCCATCCCCCCCTCCTTTTTTTCAGGTCAGAGTGTGAACACAGTCCTCTACTACCATCAATCATTTGCTCACGTTTTCTGCCTTTGGGGAAATCTCCGGGGTCAGCACATCCTTAGTTCAGTGGATGAGCAGCCTCACTCTAGGGAAACACTTTCCTGATCGTGGTGCTCCCTGCCAGGTAAGATAACCATGTGGCTCTTTATACCATTCAGTCCCTGCAGCAGCAATGATGAATGACCTACTGTGAGAATGATGATGTCTGTCTTTACCTATGGAGGCCACACTTCTCAATATTTCCTTCATCACATCTTTGTAGAGGTTCTTCTGGGATGGATCCAGCAGAGCCCACTCCTCCATGGTGAAGTGCACAGCCACATCCTCAAAGGTCACCGACTCCTGAAAGAGCCCACATGCATTTTCATACAGACAAATTTCATGGTACCAGAGACCTAGGCTTAATAAGAACTTACTGTGACACCATATTCCAAGTTCCATATATTCAAGGTATCTTGGTCACTATGCTCTTAAACTGTTCACACATACAAAGATTCTCTAATTCAGCAACTCTGACAGAAGACTTGAACAATCTGGTAAGGCGTCAGGGGAATAGGTCAACCTTTGCCTTCAAAAGTTGTGCTAATTTCTTTTTGTCCACCTGGTCACTGGAACAACTTTTATAATAAATTGGGATTATTTAATCTTCCAAAGAAAATCTGATGTTAGTTATCCAAATACTACATATTCTTATAAATGCCAAAGGAAAAAGTTCTGTTTCTCTTGTTATCTGAGAACTATGAGTAAGAGTGACTCCTCCATACCTAACTATAAAAATGATGTGGCTTTCCTAAACAGTTGATGTCAACAATGTGTGACCTTTATATCACCTGTTCTCTCTGAATACATACTACATTACCATATGCTTATCAGAGAGAAGCTATTTGGTTAGACTCAGTATATTTTCTGAATGATGAATTTTTACGAAGCTGATTCAAGCGAGGTAGTAGTGGTGCATGCACGCCTTTAACCTCAGCACTCAGGAGGCAGAGACAAGTGGATTCCAAGTGAGTTCCAGGACAGCCAGGACTACAAGGAGAAACCGTGCCTCAAACAGAAAAAGTTCCTGGGCTGGAGCAATGGTCCTGGTTGAGAGCACAGGATGCTTTTCCAGAGGACTGGACTTCAATTCCCAGCACCCTCCTGCCTTACCCAAACTAGAGTGATATAGAGGGAATCTCTTGTGTACTGTATGGGTATATCACCTGTCAATAAAAAACCTATGGCCTGCCGGGCGGTGGTGGCGCACGCCTTTAATCCCAGCACTTGGGAGGCAGAGGCAGGTGGATTTCTGAGTTCGAGGCCAGCCTGGTCTACAGAGTGAGTTCCAGGACAGCCAGGGCTACACAGAGAAACCCTGTCTCGAAAAAAAAAAAAAAAAAAAAACCTATGGCCCATAGGAAAGGACAGAGTAGAAGGTGAGACATCCGGTAGATATAAAGGATTCTGGGATAGAGCCAGGCCTGCACTTGTGGGGATGGAGAGAGGAGGCACAAACACACAAGAGCCGAGCAGACTGCCACATGGCAGAATTTCAGATAGACAGAATATAATTGGAGAAAAAGCCAAAGCTTACAGCCAAGGTATCTATAAATGTAATCAAGTCTCAAAGTCATTATTTCTGGGAACAAGGGAATGGGAGGAAAACAGAATTGCTTTAGTCATGATGTCTCTTCACAGCAATAAAACAGTGACTAAGACAAGAGGGCATTTAATCACTCTTCTCACCACTTGTGAGGGACTTGAATATATACTCTGTGATTCACTATAAACTACATTTAGAAGTGTGTACCTGCTTCCTTATAGAGCATTCTTAAATAAAAATTGAGTAAGACTTATGATGCAGGGTCAGAGAGGTGACTCAGCAGTTATGAAAACTGGCACCATAGCCTGTAAGCAACTCTAATAAATGGTGTGTGTGTGCTCGCTTGCATGTGCAAGTTCATTCTATCAACAGAGAACTATGACTTATACAGGAGGAATATGGAGGAGTATTAAGCTTTCAGTTAGAAAATCCATTGAATGATTCAGAATTCCTTTAAGGGGACGTGCTTACTGGAACTTACAAGACACAAAAGCCAAGAAAGGAGCTGTAATTTGATATCAGCACCTTTGAACCAAAACCTTCTCCCGAGGCATTAAGACAGCAGGAAATGCATCTGAGCACAAAGCTGCACCTGGCAGAGGCTTTGTCTGCAAGCATCAGAGGCTCCATCAGAACTGGCGGCAAATCTTTGGAGTGCCATCCATATAGTCCTGACTTTAAAGAAATGAAAAATACAAAATTAAGGGTGTTCCAGGGCATCAAGGCCCAGGCAACGTGTGGCAGAACTGGAATGTCTTCATGGAAGCCCAAGTGTCACTCTGTGATGCTTTCCAGAAAGATGTTAAAAGGATGCCAGTATGAGGATATGTTTTTAAAACAAAGCTTTTTAAAAAAAAAAAAAAGCAGAGGGGGATGTGAGATTATGATCTAGTTTTATCCAGAAGTAAGGAATTGTTTCAGTGTGAAAAAGGAAAAGATAAGTGAGACAGGGCAAAAGGCAGGAAGAATTAGGGAGACATTTTATAGAACGTAGGAAAAAAAAGGAAGGAAAAGAAAACAGGTTCTGGATCCCCGTTCAAGTTTGTTTTTCCTTCTGAGAGGACCAAGAAACTACAGCAACCACTGAGAAAGCAAATAAAGACACAGTATATTTCCTAAGACATCTTGTCAAAGAAAATAAGTACTCCAAATAACCCAATTAAAAAATGGGGTACAGAGCTAAACAGAGAATTCTCAACTGAGGAATCTCAAATGGCCAAGAGGCACTCAAAGAAATGTTCAACATCCTTAGCAGGGAAATGCAAATCAAAACAACTCTGAGATTCCATCTTACACCCATCAGAATGGCTAAGATCAAAAACTCAAGAGACAGCAGATGCTGGCGAGGATGTGAAGCAAGAGGAACACTCCTCCATTGCTGGTGGGATTGCTACCTAGTACAACCACTTTGAAAATCAATTTGGTGGTTTCTCTGAAAACTAGGAATAGTTCCACCTCAAGACTCAGCTATACCACTCTGGGGCATAAACCCAAAAGCTGTTCCACTATACCACAGGGACACTTGCTCAACTATGTCCATAGGAGCTTTATTCATAATAGCCAGAAACTGGAAATAACCTAAATGTCCCTCAACTGAAGAATGGATAAAGAAAATGTGGTTCATTTACACAATGGAACACTATTTGGCTATTAAAACAAAGACATCAAAAATTTTGCAGGCAAATGGATGGAACTTATGAATATCATCCTGAGTGAGGTAACCCAGTGCCAGAAAGACACATATGGTATGTATCACTTATAAGTGGACATTAGAATAAAGTGCAGGACAACCATGCTACAAGCCACAAACCCAAAGAAACTAGATAATAAGGAGATCCTAAGACAGGATGCACAAATCTCACTCGGGGGAAACTAAACAGTCATTGGATGGAGAGAGGAAACTGGATGGGAGAGGAGCTGGAAAGGAGAAAGGGGATGGTGATCGGGTGTGGGGAGAAGGAGGGCTGGAGAGGGCTGGGAGTGAGAATGCAAATCAGGGTGGGGGCATCTCTGGTGATTAGCTGGAGGCTTCATCCAGCAATGGATGGAGGCAGACGCAAAGACCCACAGCCAAACATCAGGTGGAGCCTAGGGAGTCTTGTGGAAGAGTTGGGGACAGAAGTGAGCAAGCTGGAGGGGTTAAGAAGACCCACAGAGTCAACTAACCTGGGACCATGGGGGCTTCACAGAGCCTAGGCCACCAACCCAGGGGCACAGAGGAGCTCGACCTAGACCTCCTACACATTTGTAGCAAATGTGCAACTTGGTCCTCAAGTGGGACGGCTAACCAGCACAGCAGAGGTTGTCTCTGTCTCTGTTCCCTGTCATTGGATCCCCTTACCCTAATTAATTGAACTGCCTGGGTGGGCCTCAGTGGGAGAGGATGCCCTTAGTCCTAGTCCCACTAGGACTAGATGCCCCAGGGTGAGGTAGTATCCAAGAGGGGCTTCCCTTCTCTGAGGAGGAGGGGCCAGTGAGGGGAGAGATTTGTAAGGGTGGGACTGAGAAGAGAGGAGGAATGGGGGCTGTAATAGGAATGTGTATAAAGTGAATTTAAAAATAAAAATAAAGAAAATAAATACTGCATACTTAGGATCAAAATAATAAAATGGCATGGCCTGACATTTCCAGTACAGGTGTTTCACAGCCAAGCCAAGCAAACACCATTCCTCAGAAATCCACTTTACAACAACTTTGTTTACAGCGGAAGATTCATCAGAAGTTGTAAACTCCATTCTTTGAACAATGTTACCCAAAAGAAATGATTGCTAATATCTTACTTTAAAAAAGAAAGAGAGAAAGAAAGAAAGAAAGAAAGAAAGAAAGAAAGAAAGAAAGGAAGGAAGGAAGGAAGGAAGGAAGGAAGGAAGGAAGGAAGGAAGGAAGGAAGGAAGAAAGAGCACACAGTGCCCCATATTTCCAGATGGAATCTCATCCAAGGACTGACCAGGCTAGACTCTTCTTAGCTTCCAGATCAGATGAGATTGGGCACATTCAGAGATCTCTTAGATTTTAAAGATAGATTTTAGCTTATAATTGTCATTAAGGTATGAGAACTATTACCTGAATATGTGGGCTTTCTCTACTATAAAAAAACAAAACCACAAATTAAAATGGGAAGTTTTTCCCTCCCACCCAAGTTTCTAATCTTAGCCTGCTCAAGATTTAAAAAGAAAACAAAATCTCAATTTAAAAACTTGTTACTGCTTACAGACCTGGCTAATGAAGTTGTAACTTTTCTACACTGTTAATATTAAAATCATGTCTTTAAAAAGTACATGTTTGGCTGGGCTGGTGGTACACATCTTTAATCCTACCACTGGAGAGGCAGAAGCAAGATCCTGGTGAGTTGAAGTCCAGCCTGATAGTGAGTTCTTGTGTAGACTTATGCAGTGAGGCTCTGTTTCAAAAATTAAAAAAAGTTTTAAAAAAATGGCAAAGCAGACTTTGGAGGAAGAAGAATCATTTAATACTACAGAAAAAGCAAGCAAGCAAGAAAGAAAGAAAGAAAGGAAAGAAGGAAGGAGGGAAGGGGCTGGATAGATGA